CACAAGATATCACACACCCCCCATAAATATGTACAACTATTATATAGCATATCATTAAAAATAAAAGAAACTTTAAAAAACAAGATTTTTAAAGAGATGTTTTTAGTTTATGGCATATTTCATAATTACACAGTCAAATTGATCAATATTGTTATTCATTCTTTCTGGTCCCTATGACAACACTATTTTTAAAATGTAAGTTCTCTTCTTGTGTTTCAAGGGCTAGCTACTGTCTCTCTTTTTTTCTTTAGCCTTCAAGTTCTTCTTCTATCTAAAATTAATGCTATTTAAGAGAGTGAGGTAGGAATTTATTTTTTCCCTAAAGATTAGCCAGTTATCCCAACGCCATTTATTGAATAATCCATTTTTTTCTATTGTTTGAAATTTTATCAATTTTTAAAAATCCAATTTTACATATAGTTAGTTCTATTTTGCAATTCTTTATTTTGTTACACTGTTTGGTCCAATTATCTCCAAATCAATATTGAACAAATAAAATATATGCTCAAACAAATATATCAAAAAAAATTTGAAACAAATAAATAAATATATAATAATAAAAATATAATATATAAAATTGAATAAATTTATTATTATATAAGAAAATATTAATATTAAAAACATTTTTAGATATTTAATATCTTTATTAAGGTATTAAGGGTAAATTTTGCTCTGGCTTTAAATTATATTTTAATATTCAGTAGATCAAAATTTACCCTTGATATCTTTATTTAGAATTTTCCTAGTTCTAAATGTATAGTATTTCATAAATTTCAGGGGAGAAACTTTTGTTGAAATAGTCATCACTTCTTTTTATATGTTCTAATAATATTAAGATGTCATTATCCTAATAGTATTCTATTTTATAGTACTAGTGCTAATTTACCCATATGTTATCTTAAAATAAGCATCTAGATAGACCTTTGGGGGCTGATCATAAACCAGATAAATAAATAAAAATATATAATGATATATTAATATCTGAATAAGTTAAATTGGAACTGCTTAGTGATCACTAAAAATCATGTATTTTTTATCTCAAACTGTATGCAGTTCAAAATTCATATAACAAATTTGTATAGCTATCAAAATATGAGCTTCTTTTGGAAATTATTTGATTTCCATCTAGTCCCTGTTCTCTGTATATTGAAGCATCAAAAACTGGCTCTGCTTTGGTGGTAATATCTGCTGTCTTAGTTGATACCGGGCTCTTGTACTTTCTGTGGTTATCATCAGTTATTAACTCAGAAATCAAGTTCTCTACATCTTTAATGGACTCTGGCAAACCAAAGGGCTATAATAGCTCATGGAAGGTTGAAGGAAAAAAGTATTCAGCATTAACCATAAACTACTTAGAATGCTACAGAGATAGCCGCTTCTCCAAATTAAATGTAACGGGAGCATACTAATTAATTTGGTATAAACTGTGACCTCTTGTAGCAGGATTTTTGACATTGTTTCATTCCATTTATGCTGAGTATTCTCTGGCTAACGATTAGTGTAAAGGCATCTGTCAGTATCTAAAGACCAATGTGGCAGGAAACAGTTTTCTTGGCAATTTTGATGCCTTGTGAGAATCGAGGCAATGAAACTGTTTCCCTGCTAATCTGCAGGGGTTTGGCTTTTGGCATTTATCAAAAGCTTCCTTCTGTTTGTTTAAGGTACAATATTATTTGTACAGTTCAAACAGAACGTTTAATGATGTCTCCGTAATTATTTCTTTTTTACTTCATTTGCAAGATAAAAAAAAAAATCTCTTTTCATGTGCCCAGGCAAACCGAAGTTTGTGAAGGGAAACAGCATTCTTGGATTTCTTTTTCTCTGACTTTTTTTTTTTTTTTTTTTTTTTTTTTTTTTAAATAGAATGGTCTGTTTTGTGGAACAGCAGGTTTTTGTGCCGTTTCGGATGGCAGTGCATGTGGCAGAATAGGCCCCATTCACGTTTTCTGTGGGACAATCTGCAAGGACACCGTTCTGTGGGAACCTTTTTTAAGAGGAGGGTCTGCAGGGACAGGGCAAGGGCCACACGACACCTGTAGCAAGACACGCTCGGGTCAGGACTCAGATCTGATTTTACACGTTGCTTTATTCCCCGTAAGTATTCAGCATATGTTCCTTTCTGGGAAAAATAAAGGGCTGCCTCAGATGGGACATATCAAGTGAGCTCAAGGAGGTTACTAGATTAACTCCAATCAGTCTACACACTCCCTCATAAGCCGCCGGTGCTGGTTATTCACGGCCCTTGTTATGATGATGTTCATTTTATTAGAGCATATAGCTCGATAGCCAGAGAGCATGATCTTTTTACTGGGAAAATCTTTCTGCAATGCCTTCTTTTCTTGGAGGAAAAAAAAAAAAAAAAGCAGCAGTAAAATGGTATGCATTTCCTTTACAAGCCTCCCAGTGAATCTGGAATAACAGAACTAGGGTTTCCATTTTGAATAGCCGAAGTGAATGTCTAATCTTTTCCTGGGCCTGCTAGTACATTCCGTGGACTGGAATTTTTAAATACAGTGTTTCTAAGCCCCAAGGCCCTGACATGCTTCTTTCAGTCTCCTTTCCCCCCTTCTCTTTCTAAATTAGAGCGCTTGGTCTGCGTAGAGACACGTCCAGGAGTGATGCTCTGGGGTTCAGGGCAAAGAATGTTCAGTCCGGATCCCACGGAGGCCCACGGTTCCCAGCACACAAACAGACACAGCGAGGGAAGGAGAAAGCAAACGTGGCATCAAAGAAAACTAGTGACTATAGACACCACGAAAGAAAAAAAAAAAAAAAAAAACTAGCTCTGTGTTAGCCCAGTAAAGACAGAAATAACAAGGGTTTTGAATGCTAAAATATAGAGGGTTGTATGAAAGGGAGGGAAACATACACAAAGTGGACAAACTGAATAAAAGTATTTATCTTTAAACCACACAAGTCATGGTAATTAAATTAGGTCAGGCTGGTGACAATGCTACAAAAAAGCAGGCTGTAACTAATTTCAAAAGGAACAGAAAAGACCTGAAAAGAAAACAGATTGACAGCTCCTGATTTTTTTTTTTTTTTTTTTTTTGCCTATCCAATCAAGCAACCCAACATCAAAAAGTAGAAGAGAAATCCAGATAGGCAGGAATTTTGTCTCATCCCAATAGATAAACTTTGCAAATATGCTCAGGATCAGTTTAGAAATAGGAAAAATTATTAATTGCTCTATGTGAGGAAAAAAAAAAAAGTAAAAACACACATAAAGTTTGCATTTGAAGGGAACTGACAAAAACTCTGCTCCTTCAATAGTTCAATGTCTATTATTACAAATGCTACAATCACAGCCTGAGTCGTCGTAACTACCTCGAGACTTTCTCCCTGTCAGGATGTTCTGCTTTTAATTGTTTATGCAACTCTGAAGGTATTATATGAGCAGTAGAACATTATGAGATTTTTCTTTCTAATTCTCTTAATAAAGACCACTTGCTGATGTCTATTAAAATGACTTTTAAAAATGGTCTCAAACGTTTACTTTGAATGTAAATGTGCCAAGTTGTAAAATGCATTTGACTGTCTTCAGCTGCGATTTTCTTAGTCCTATAATGTCCTGCTCCCAGGAATTAGAAATGCAGCAGGCACGCTTGTGCAGGTGAACACTGTGACATCATGACTATATTTAAACATAGTTCCACCCTTCTGATCTTTCCTTACAGCAAGCTTCATGCTTCTCCATTTGCTAGAGCCCTTTCCCGAAGTGTGATCCAGGGCTTTCCCTGGTGCCTGTTCATGACATTGACTTCAGGGTGGGACACATGCGGACCCACACCAGGAAGCAGAAATACTGTCAGAAAAGACTGCGGTGAAGATCTGTGAGTAAAAGTGAGATGGGCAAGGCCTGGGTGGCCAAGAAGACATGTTTAGGGTGCATTATGGCTACCGAAAGCGCCATCATCAACCCAGCTTAACTCTGAATCCCATCTGTGCACCAACAGGCAGCAGCGTGCAGAATGCAGAAGAGGAAGGCATGTCGCCATGCTCACGTCTCTGTATCGTGCCAAACGTGTGAACCCCGAGTCTCCATAAGGGTAGACCTCCCTTGGGGTGGTGAGAAGTCGTACTGATGCCCCTCAGGAGTAGTCTTTCTAACGTCCAGATGTCTTAGCAAAGTCTTTGGTGTCTGTCTGGACGCTAGCCGACGTCTCTGCCCCTATTAGCTGGAGGCAGTTGCTAATTTCCCATCTGCTTCGCACAGCATTGCATCCATCTCGAACAACCGTTAGAATTTTTCCTATGTGCCTACTTGCTAAGTTTTGTTTTGCAAGGAAAGCAACATAATAGGGGAAGCGCACGAAGGCAGAAAGGGGGGCGGGATTTGCAGAAGGAAGAGGGAGGGCAAGCCAAAGAGAAAAATGTGGAAATTGAAAGAGACCGAATGTTTTAGAAAATGGGCAGAACAAAGGAGCTGATGTGACCCATGCCCTCATGAAGTTCTGCATCTGCGGTAACGAGGTTCTGTTGTTGGGAATTCAACCTTGTAAATGGGAGCACCCCAGAGTCCAGAATGGGGGTGGGTGGGCCCAAGTTGAAGGGGAACAATCTCCCTTACCCCAGGCCGTGACCTCGGGCTGCCAGGAAACCATTGTGCACACCCACAGTTCCAAGTGCTGAAAACAGACACAGTTTCTTTGCACAAACCAGTGCACAATGGAAAAATTTTTTTCTTTTTAATGGTAATACATTGAATTAAGTTAGTCATTTAAGGCTTAGAGCTGATGCCTAAATCTAGACAGTATGCATGCACAGGTAGGATAGTCCGCTAAGAACTGAATGAGAGTATGAGGAGGATAAATACTCATATCACAGCAAGGAGAGTTCTCTATAGTGAAAACGACAGTGCACTCTCACACTGAAATATACTCCTGTATCACCACCTTCAGCAGTTCCATTGATATTGTTGTTTGTTAGCCACCATATTCCATGTCTCCATGGAGCTGGGGGTTAAATTTAATGTGATATTCTAGAATGAGAACTTTGGACACACACAGCCTGGGCTGGAATTACTAGCTTAGTGATCTTGGGTACTTGGCTCAATCTATTGGAATCTCAGTTTCCATGTTTGATTGACTCACAGTAAGTAGTCATAAATGTTAGCTAGTATGGCAATAGGACTGTCAAAATACTAACTCAGGTGTTCAGCAGTGTTTTGATTTTCAGCTGTAATTCTTCACGTTAATATTTCATAGTATTAATCTTCTTAGACTGGAAGGCTCTTTAAGGCAGGGGCCATGTTTTATTTGTCTTTTGTGTCTAGCACTTAACACAGTATCTAGCACTTAGGATGGGGTCAATGGATGGCTGAATGAGTGATTGGATGAATGAAGGAAATAAAAGTTGTTTTATGCAGAGAGATTTATTTTTCAGTGGAGCGATGGCTATGCTTTTAAAAGATTCAGCAGAGTTCTGGAGGGATGAAAGTCTTTAGACACACTTTCGAATAATAAGCTCGGCTCAAAACCTTCTCAAATCCTCAGATGAACCTTTGCACACATCATTAACTGTGTTTTCTTTTAATCTAAAACACTCTGGACATTTTTAATTATTTTACTAATTTCCAAAGTTTCTTGGAATGCTAACCTGGTATGTAATCATTCAGCTTCCTGCTTTACCAGGCATTTTAAATCAAATCCCTGTAGTTTTCCATCATGAGATAGTACAAAATATATTTGTTACTTGGATAACTCTCAAAATATAAGAATCTTGTGAAAATGTCATACTGAGCTCCTCCAAATTTTTGTGGTCAAAATGTTTATTTTGTTTCTTCATAGTATTTTCTGTTATTACTATCATGTTGCCCTAAACAGTAATGCTATATTTAACTCTATTAAACATTAAAGCCAGTGGTTCCCAACTTAGGATCAGATTTTAATCAAATAAGTTCTATTTTATATTGATTTCTTGGAACATGCTGCAGATATTGCCAAAAAAATTTATGTTTTATAATGGATATTGAGTCTTTCTACCCAGGGGGAAAATCCTTTAGTTATTAATAACATGGGAATTCATAAGGTGTTATGGTCTGTATGTTTGTGTCTCCCTGAAATTCATATGTGGAAATCCTCAGCCTGAAGGTGATGGGATTAGAAGTGGAGCCTTTGAGTAGGTCATGAGGGAAGAGCCCTCATGAATGGGATTAAGTGCCCTTATGAAAACATCTCCAGAGAGACTGTCACCCCTCCACCATGTGAGGACACAGTGAGAAGACTGCTGTCCATGAACCAGGAGGTGGGTCTTCACCAGATTCCGAATCTGACAGTGACTTGATCTTGGACTTCCCAGCCTCCAGACTGTGAGAAATAAAGTCCTGTTGTTTATAAGCCATTCGGTTTATGGTATTGGTTATAGCAGCTCAAATGGATTAAGACAGAAGGATACTATAGCATGTGACAGTATGGACTGTGGACTCAGACTACTGTATTTGTACTAGCTCTGTCAGTGTTAGATGTCTGACCTTAGACAGAACAATGATGTATAATTATGTTCATAAAATGGTATTATTATGAAAACATAAACTCTTAAGTACAATATGCACATAAAAAAGCATGAAATTGTAAGCATACACATGAATGAATCTTTACAAATGAATGTAGGCATGCAACCAGCAGTCATATAAACAAATAGAATATTAGCCCTCCAGAAGCTTCCTCATGTCCTCTTCTGGTAATTAATCCCTTAGTTTACTTTTTGTCTGTGAACTTTATATAAATGGAATCATAAATATGTATAGATGGTCTCCAACTTACCATGATCTGATTTATGATTTTTCATCTTTATGATGGTGTGAAAGTGATACGCATTCAGTAGAAACTATACTTTGAATTTTGAATTCTCATCCCTTCCCAGGCTGGTGTGATATGTAGTCTGATACTCTCTCATGATGCTGGACCACAGTAGTGAGCCACAGCTCCCAGCCAGCCATGCGGTCATGAGGGTGAAAAACCAACACTTGACGTCTTCCTGAATGACACTCTGTCTGCTACACCACCACCAAGTGGCCACGCCCCACTGCCTCCTACCAGCTATTCTCTAGCCCCTAGGAAGAGAGAGAAATTGCTGGTCCAGTCACTATAGCACCCTCAACTTCCAGCCAGGACTAAAGCATTACAAAAGTGATCCCTTTAACCTAAAACATTTGTACCCTCTTAATATTTTCTAATTAACACACAACCCCCCCCCCCACTAATTTTGGATTCTTAAATCGAAGAGAACATCTATCAGATAGTTCAAGTTGCATTCTCTGACGCCAGATATATATTTTTCTTTACTGCTAGAATAGAGCTTTGGCTGTCCTTTGTGGTCATCTCAGTCATTTCTATCCTATTTCGTTGTGCAGTATTTGTGTCGTGCATTTACATTTTAAAGGTTGTAGTCTATGCAGTGTGACTTTCAAACAATTGACAAACCTATTCCCATGTCAAAGCCTCTGCTTAATCAGCAGTCACTTTATTCCCACTCTTTTCAAAGGCACTTGAACAGCCTGAAAGGCTAAGAGACAATTCAAGTGAGTGTGCTGGGCTGGTCCCCTCCCTGTTTGTCTATTCAAATTCAGGCATGTCATCTCCCAGTGAAGAAGGCCAGGCTTCAATGCTACTGTTGCTACTGTCTTCAACACTAAGGAACAGACGTCATAAAATAGAAGAAGGAACTTTTCTGTCCAGAAAAAGGAGTTGATTGTTCTTATTCCGGATATGCGAATGTGCAGCAATTGCAGAGTTGAGGATAAAGACTCAAGTTAGAGAGAAAAAACACTTTACATTAGCAGTGCCTGGTCCTACAAGACCTTGCATTTGGCAAACATACCCTGAATGGTTTTATCAAATATTATGTTGCCTTACCCATCACTTGATAGACTCTGATGATCATTTCTACCATATTGATTTAAATACGCATTCAATATCATCCAAAATCGATGCTGCTTGGTGATGAGACATAAAAACTATTAAAATATTATGGAAAAAAATGAGTTTTTATTTTTGTGTTGGTTTTACTATAGACCATTCTATGCAAATAAACTTAAGCCCCTCAAACCTTTGAAAAAATGCTTTAGTTTCTACTTTGGGAAGTTAGACTTGGTCAAAAGTAAATATAGCAAGGAACTGAAATGCAAATCATTTTGGACATTAATAAAACAATCAATTTGATTAATTTATTTGACTATGAGTCAGAAATTTTTGGAGTTGAAACTGGAGAAATGTACATGTTTTTATAACAAGTGTGTGACCATTTTAATTCCCAATTTATCAGTATTTTATATAATAGTAGATTTGAATGCAAGTTGGCTATGTTCAAAATGTGAATATTGACATATCAGAAAAGAAAATGTTTGTGATAAAGAATATAAAACAAAGGATGACAATACTTATCTTGATGTATTCCAACCACTAACTCATCAAAATTTAACTGTCACTTCAATATTGTCCACAGTGGGGAAAGCATAATTTTAGAGTCAGACAAACATATTTGAGCTTGATTTGGCTCATTAGCTGTCTGATCAGGAAAAATTATTTTACATCCTTGGAGAGTCAACCTATGTTATTAATAAAAAATATTAACTTTCTCCTGAGAAGGTTGTTTTGATTTATATATGGTAGCTATGAATGTTTTCACTAAAAGTCTTTGTCTAAATATATTACAGTAAATATTTCAGAATAAGAATAAAACCAAATTTCAAAGATTTTATTATGATCAGTTATATTTTATCACATTTTATGTATTTATCCTTTCTTAAAAATTCCCATCAATACATGAATGGATTAATAAAATGTGGTAGATGTATACCATGGCGTTCTACTCAGCCACAAAAAACAATGGTGATCTAGCACCTCTTGTATTATCCTAGATAGAGATGGAACCCATTCTACTAAGTGAAGTATCCCAAGAATGGAAAAAGAAGCACCACATGTACTTATCACCAAATTGGTATTAATTTATCAATGCTTATGTGCACATATAGTAGTAATATTCATTGGGTGTCGGGCAGGTGGGATTGGGGACGAGGGGATGGGTATATTCACACCTAATGGGTGTAATGTGCATCATCTGGGGGATGGACACACTTGAAACTCTGACTTGGGTGGGGCAAAGACAACATCTAACCTAAACATTTGTATTCTTGTAATATTCTGAAATAAAAAAATAATTAAAAATAATGCCCAAATGAGAATTTTATTACTTTCCCTGGGATAACAGATTTAGGGTTTCCACACTATTACCCTTATTAATTTTTGTGAATGATTTTGCCTGCTACTGCTGAATTTAGGTTGAATTTTAAACCCATTGCTTTTTGGCCTGTGTGCTTTTGGGTTCATTTGTTGTATATATTAGAAGTGGCCTGTTTGGGGTAACTTGGCTTTATTTCTTCCCTTTTTATTATTACATCTGGGGCTTTAGAAATGACTGGAATTCAGATAAGGTTTGGGTTAAGGCAACAGAGGATCTTAGAAAAGATTGAGGGAAAGAGGTATTGAATAGTGCCTTTAAATGAGATTTATACACGAAACAGACTTCAATGAAATGCACGAAATCACAGTAAGTTTTTAAAAATTTAAGAACTAGTTGTCTACTGTGTATTAGGCACTGTCTTAGGTTCTCTATGGCATCTATCACTTGACAAAGCTGACACTATAAAAAAAGGATATTGCCACTGTAATAAGATTTGGAACATATGCTAATGTGTGTATAGACATCCTTTTTTAGAAATTCTTAGATACTTGTCATGCTGACTCAACCCTTCTAGTGTAACTTTTTTTGACCCCAGAGATGCCTTTCCCCCAAATTCAAGCCATGGCATTTCAGCTCTTAAGTTTTTTATTAATATTATTCAGTAATGTTCATGGTTGACTTCATCATACTGGGGGCCCCAGTCAGTCCCTGAGCCTTGGAACTGGCCATCTTACCTTGTTTCCTCTTTTTTCCCCTGTGTCCCTGTGAACTGGCTCTCACTCCATCTTTAATGAAGCCTCAGTTTGGGGAACCAGAGGAAGGAATGTGTTGCCATCTAGGTCTCATTGAGGATCAGGGATGCTTGCACCTATCACTGATAGTGCAAAGCAGTATTGTCACCATGTGGACATGTTTCACTCAAATTACATCTAAATGGTTTTATCAGCATGACCATTTGGTCATAATAGCTACATCAAGTTCACCAAAAGGTTTTGCTTTAGGCTTTCCCAAAACAAAGATCAATATGTATTGATTGGTAGATGGTAGGTTTTTTTTTTTTTTTTGGTCTGGGTTTTTTGTGTGTGTGTTTTTGGTTTTGTTTTTTCGTTGTTGTTTGTAGCTATTTTTTCCCATCTTTATGCTGGTAGTAAGCCGATGATATTTTACCAAAAATTCAGATATTTTAATATTGAACATAATATTCTGGGTCACCCCTTTTCAAGTAATGTAGTTTTCTGAATTTATTGACACTACTTTTCATTTTTTCCTTATATGGTGTAAAGTTATAAAAATGCCTTCCAGTTGATTTCTTAGGTAACAGCAGAATGTGTTTTCTCAAACAGTAGCCTGGGAATTCTTGATATACCACCTTCTAGAGGTACTGACAGCAACTGGATAAATGTGCTGGGATCTAGATTTATTCACAAAATCACGAGAGCTGAGTCACAGCAACGCATTTAAGAGCAAGTCACTGCTTCTTTTGTCTAAGTGGCTGTTGTTGAACCACATCCATCTGCATATGTGACACTAATTTTGTCACAGCTTCTTTATACCAAGCCCAAATTCATCTTACCTGGTGGTTTTATTTGAAGTGTGTGAGCTGTATTAAATAGCATTCAAATAAGTAATAGAAATCCAACTCCAAGAATATGGGAAGAAAACTCACACAGGCACATGGAGAACGGATTGAAATCTGGCACCTGACAATGATTAACAGGTTGAGCAGATTAGACTAGACTTAAATCTCTGTAAGTAATATCAAAAGACAGAAAATCTTTTTATTAAAAACAACTTCAACAATTTAACTTATGAGATTTGAAACAAATTGATTTGTTTACCCGTCATCAATCAATATTAGGATAGGCTGGAAAATTTTTAACGTATCATACAAAAAAGGAAACAAAATTAGTCAACAGTCCCCAGACCTCGTCTTATGAAAAACAGAATTCTGGGTATTTGAAAACACCGAATTATTGATGAAAAATAGCCATTTTGAGTGAATATTTGATCTCTTATATATTCTACTGATAAATTAAGCATAATATTAGTAGGTTTGCTTTATGTGAAATATCGGTGAAAGTATGTCAATCAGTATAGTCAAAGGTCAAGCAGCCATCTAAATCTATTGTCTAAATGATTTTGGTTAAAATAGTTGGTATTTTAATTGAGTGCCAGCAATCATATGGCAAACCACTCGTTTATTTTGCCTTATGATAAAATAAGCCTGAATTTGTGGTGACATTTTTAAAGAAACCAATCTTTTCCAAGAAACAATCTGGATATCAAAAAGTAAAGATATTGTCATGTTATATACAATGTTAGCTGGACTCGACAATAATTTGTAAAATTTGTTTGTGTACACCCATTTCAGATTACCTAAAAAAGCCTCAGCTTTCATTTTTATTTTATGTTGAACATAGAAAAGTCCAAAATATATCCAGATAGATGGCAACTGTGGCTGCCATTTTAATAACCAAATGTTTCAGCACAATACACTGTTCTATGTGTATACAGATGGAAAACTAAACTTTTACAAATTTTTATTTATTATGCATACATGATAGCTGTATACATTTATGGGGCATATGTGATGTTTTGATACAGGCATACAGTGTGTAATAACCAAGTCAGGGGAATTGGAATATCCATCACCCCAAGCATTTATCATTTCTTTGTGTTAGGAACATTCCAATTCCACTCTTTTAGTTATTTTAAAGTATACCATTGGGAAACCAAACTTTGAAGAGAGAAAGTTCTTCAGGTACTGGCTCTTTCTTAGATAAGCCAGCCCTCTGAAAGATAAGACAATTCTCTAATTTTTTATTACTTTTTCTCCTAAATATATCAAATGAGATTGATTTAGAATTGCTTGGTGAGGTGAATGCAAGGGGAATCTATTAATATGTATAGACTACCCGTTCCCAGAAGAAACCATATTTTCTTAACAAATTTCTTTCATGGAATTTTACAATATCTTCAAAGTTTTATTTGGACATAATTGCAGAGATGTGACAAGCAAATAGGTTTAAAAAAGTAAATAAAATAATAAGGTTGGCCTCAAAACATGCAATTCTTCCTCTAAACAAACCCCCTTATTGGTGATCTGGCTCAAATTATATGTACACAGAAATATCCTGGGTGAGTAACAGGAACAAAGCAGAGTGTCTGGTTGAGATAAAAGTCTTCTTTGAATATTGTTTGTAACTTGAAGACTTTGCTCTCTGGTTGGATAGATTCCATTAAACACAGCCGGGAGCAATATACAGTATGGATCATATGACTTTGCTGCAATGGACATGCAAATACATATTTTTCACATATAATATACAAACATCTCGGCAGGACAATTGTATAATGGAGCCAAAAAATCAGAAAACTGGAAAATGTACAATGGATTACTATGGCTTCATTCCACACTTCAAATATAATGAAGATTTAATTCATCTGATGCATTTTTCTAATTGGACACACATTGGTAGAGGGGCGTTTGAGTTCACAAACACTTTCAATTACTTCCATGTTAACCACATTTCACAAACTTCTAACTTGTGAACTATTTTGTAGTAGAACTTGTAGATTTGACCAAATCAAGGTTTTTTTTTTTTTTTTTTTGGCCTTTGCCTCTCAAATTATTCTCAACTGAGGTCCGATATCATGTTTCATCCTCATGTGGCAATTTAAACATACTTAAAATTATCAAAAATTTAGACAATAAAAATTGTAATTTATTTTGCCAAAAAGTGCCAGGTTAACATTAAACTTTCAAGTGGTATTTCCTGACTCCTATAATTCATTACCTTCTATTTGATTCTATAAAGTAACTATAATAAAAAATAAAAATGTCTTGATTTGTATAGCTTTACGGTTTACAAAGGGTATGCATTCATTCATTTAACCAATAAATAATTGTTGAGGGCATTCAATGGGCCGTACCTTCCATGAGGCTCAGGAAATAAAACAGAGAAGAGAGTATTTGTTCCTGCTCTCACGAAACTTTCAGTCTAGCCTCATAAAATCCACAAATGCTGCTGTGAAACGGATACCTGTGAAGTCTCCTATTAACCTCATACCCCAAAAGAAGCACTATCTGAACTTTGTGTTTAGAATTTACCTATGCAATCATGTCCCTAAACAATATGCTTTTCAGTGCTGTCTGTTTTCTGTTTTTATAAATGGAATCATACCATAAGTTTTCATCTGTAGTTTGTTTTTTAAAATTTCATGATTATTTTCACATTTTCCATGTTGCTTTGCATAGCTGTAGTTGTCTGTTTTCACTGATGCGTAGTATGAATATATATGTTAGTTTATAAATCAATTCTATAGCTAGTGCATCTCTGTGAGTTCCAGTTGCTCTATATGTTTATCAACTCTTGAAATTTATAGACATAACTTTTTGCCAAAATAGTGAATTAGAAAAATATGTCAATCATAGTTTTAATGATCATTTCTGTAGTTACTCGTGAAGTTAGCATTTTTTACAAGTTTATTGGTCATTTGTGTTTTAAGACTATTTTCAATGTTTTTAACTTGATCGTACATATTCTGTAATATATATTTTCTAAATATTAATCTTTTGTAAGTAATATGTGTTTTCTAGATATTTTTCCAAGTTATGGTTTGCCTTTCTACCATATTTATTGAAGCATAAGTTTCCATAAGTTCTTGATAATCAAAAGTTCTTAAAATTGATGTCCAGTTTATCAATAGTTTTATGCATGATTTTTATATGTTTAACAAATTTTCTTTACCCCGCAGTTACAATGTTCTTCTATATTTTCTTCTAAAAGTTTTAAACTCTTAATCCATCTTCAAAGAGTTTTGTGTGGTAGGGATACAATTTCCCTGTATGGAGCCAACTGTCCAAGCACAAATTTATTGAATAGTTCTGCTTTGCTGGAGTCATCGTATACCAGATTTCTCATTTTACCCAGCTGGGTAAGACTACCAATGCAATGCTTAATGCAAGTATTGATAGCAGCATCATTGTCATGTTCATGATATCAAAGAATGAGCTTTCAATAGCTTGTCATGTACCTTTGCTATGGTTTATTTTAGACAATTTGTATATTTAGAAAGTTTCTTTTTATTTCTCATTTGCTGGGTTTTTTGACAAGCTCTTTTTCTTTGCCTATTTTATATATACACTTACAGATTTTACAATGGTCAACCTATCTTATAGTCCTAACATAAACTTATTCATGGTTTTAGTCATTTTATCTATTTGTTAGTAATTCGTTAAGAATTTTTGCATTTTTTATGTGAATGAGATTTGTTCTTTTCTTATTTTCTCCTGTTGAGATTTGGTTTTGACCCTCAGGAATTGAGTTGTGCAGTGTTTTCACCTCTTCCATGCTCTGAAGGAGGTTATATGATATCAACATTATGCTTTTTATTTTTAAATTTTGAATGTCTGGTAGACTTACTAGTGAAGTTTTCTGAGAAATTTCCTGATCTATCTTACAGTTCACTAATTCTGTTTTGTGCACATAAGTCCAAATGCTGCTAATGAGTTTTCAATTTTAGCTATTGTATTATTAATTCCAAAATTAATTTTGTTATTTTTCCAATCTTTTTTGTAGTTTCTTCTTCTCCTCACTTTCATTTGCCATTTATTTTTTAAAACATGATAAGCATAGTTGTTTTTAATATCTTTTGTCTGATAATTCTAATAGTTGATGTCATTGCAGATTTGTTTCTGTTACGTTTTCCTTCTTTTTGAGTGCCAGACTTTTGGCTAACATCTGAGGACATAGTGGAGTCTAGCTACATATTTTTTTTTTTTTAAATTGGCATGCTCTCAAAATTATTCTATGTTGAAAATTTGAAGCCATAGTTATTATTTCCTCAGAGAGCCTTATCATTAAAAGTGAGATGGAGTTGTCAGAAAGAAAAATGTACTAACCTACTAATCAGTGAATCAGTGTGTTTTTAAGTATGAAGTAAATAAAATCTTAACTACTGTATGAGTAAGATAAAACTCATCCTTAAATTACATTGAAAATTAAGCAGGTTGATGAACTAAGTATATTTATTGGACAATGTCTTAGACCTTAGAAGCTCCAAAGCCAATAGAATATCCTTGATGATTTCTTATAAAACCTCTGCACTTTTCCAATGATGAATGATTTATTTTTTACTGCTGGCAATGTAGTAATTATTAACTTCTCCATAATTAATGACTAGAAATGGAATCACATGTGGAGGTCTAATTTTTATTATGTGAAGCTTTTCATGTTTTCAAAAATAATTGTCTCATTTCTTTCAATTATAATTAATAGGTAATTTTCAACATTGCTGTGTTCATATCTCCTGAGATTATTAGATGTGAATACTTTTTATAAACAGAATTCTCTGGGGTGGAACTTCTCAGCCTCTGTAGATCAAGGAATGGACGTATCCCAAGAGAGCTGTGAATATTGAAACTGCACGAGCAGAGCCCACACTTGTTCAGCCTGGACGTGTTTGGATATTTACCACTGCAGGTGACTTCACCGCCCTTTGACCTTCTGTCGCAGGGCCAGTCTGACTCTGGTGATTTTGACCTGCAAGAGCCTTACCATTTTAGGGTTGGCATTTAAAATGAGGAAAAGGCATACACTTTTCTGATATTCTCCACACATAAGAAAACAAAGCAAACTGTGAGTGATAGTGATGAATATTCAGAGGACCTTCTCTATCTTCTCTGGATTCCCTAAGATTTCATGGTTTTCTTTGAATTCAGTGGTATTATGGTGGTCATTCTGAGCACTTGCATTCTATAAAATAAATTCCAGCTAGTGACTAGGGTTGCAGTTTACTGAAATGATTTTTAGTGGTAAAGCCTTCTCTTGTGCTCACTTTTAAAAAGGTGAGCTTGGTAAGTGATGAGTGCTAGCCCTGCTAAACATGTGCACAATTAGGAAACAAGGAGTAGGCTAAAAGCACAATTACTAAGTAGTGAGATCACAGCTGGATCATTGCTGATACCATTTTCTCCCAGCAGATGTTTACAAAGCTTTATGTTGTGTTTCAAGATAACATAAAGAATATGTAACTTCAAGAATGACTTGTCTTTTAGTTGTTTCTAGGAGTTATACTTCATTATTGGAGAAGGATACAGCAATTTGAAGGGCATTAGTATTTAGCCAATTTAATTTGCATTTGGCTGGAACACACATCAGGTTCCAGGTGATAGAGTCCAATTGTTACACAAATTTAGGTTGCTGTCTTATTATAGTTGAGGCAAAGATGTACAAAAAAAAAGATAGTAGCTATTTAGATGAAATAAGAATTCAACTGGATTTGAACCCTGTTGAACGCTAGCCTCGTTTCGATAAAAGTCTACTAGTGACCAGTCATTGAGTGTTATTAAAACTTGTTAATTCATTTATGTCTTCCTGCAGAACTTAAAGCCCTAACAAAGCTCTGTTCGTATTTATATTATAGTTCCAAATTGGCTTTGACTGACAATAGTTTAAAATAAATAAATAAGTTTTCTTAATTAAGTTATAAAATACAGGTGAAGTAGTTGGAAATGGATTAACTACAATAGTAAAGATAATTATTATAAAAAAACACTATGTATCCTATTTAATAGAATATTTCTATTTTTATATTTCTTTTATTTGAGATTTCGAAGATTGTCTACACTGAAGACAGAGCCAGAACATTCTCCAGATTCTCTATTTCACGCTTCACTGAAGAATTCAACAATAGATTGTGTGTTGCTTTTCATTTATATAGCAAAGATGGAAGCAAAAAACAAATTACGAAAAGTAGAATATTTAAAATGGCTCCACTGAAGAGAACTGGAAACCTTTCTAAAAACAGTTTTGTCAGGTAGATAGTGAGGAATTCTGGGTCTCCTAGGGACAAAAGTGGGTGACGCTGCAGTTCACCCACCATGGGCTTTCGGAGAGGCTCATGGGAGATCCACATGCACAGTAAGGCTCAGGTCACGTGACTCAACTGTCCAATCAAAGGGGTTCTATGGTGACATCTGAGCCACAAGAGACGTCCTCACCAGGGCACTATGAAACAAGACCCCCACCATTACTGGGCCCTCCCTTTTGCTGTCCCTTTGCTGTGACAGTGGCCTCAAGTTGTCATCTGTGGCGTATGTACCACACTCTGTAAACCTATACCTTGCTCTTGCCCTATAATCCTACCTTTCTCTTAAACCTCATTTTCATGTTTGCCTTACTTTGGTGTCTGTGGTCATTCTTTGGCCATAAGTGCACCAAGAACCGACATTTCAGACCCAGAAACCCTGAGTTTTGCCTGAGGCCATCCCTTACCTGATTATAGAAATATTTTTTAGTGTGTATTTATGGATTTTAGTTCTCACAACCTTAGGAAACCTTTGAAAATGCATTCAGAAAAAATGAGAAATTTTAGATTTGGCGATTTCAATTCAATTTAACAAATATTTGCAGAGTCTGCATAATGTGCCTAGCAATACATCCAGGAGGAGCTTTTTATCAGAATATATTAAATTTTCTAAATAGATTTCTTAGGAACTAAAATTTAATTTAGACATACTTGATTTAACACTCTAGGAAGATAAATGAAATTCTGTAAAACTCAATAAATAAACATTTTCATCATCCTCCACTATGTTTGCAGAATTTATAATAAGAGATGGCCAGAATATTTGAAGAAAATAGGTTTAAAATGTATTATATAGAAAATTATGGGATTATGCTAAGCAGTTACACTCAGAATGAATGTATTAAAATTTTTTTAAAAAAATATGTTACAACTGATCTTTTATTTTTGTTTTTTATATACATTGATATATAAATTAGGAAAGTTTCTCTTCTTCTTCTCTTTATTAGCCCTTTCAATGATAGAGGAAGCTGCATTTCCTTTCTTTTTGGTTGGCATTTGGGTGAAGGCAGATTTCACTGGGAGGTTTATGGGCATCAGAGATTCTGGTAAACTTGGTTCTAGAGCACCCCGTTTCACATCATCTTCTACTCTAGGACCCTCCCCACAATTTGCTAATTCTTAAGTTTTTTTTTTTTCTCCCTTCGAAAATCATTATTTTTATCAGGATAATAAATGCACATAGTTTATTTTTTGTAAAGTCTAGTCCTGGCTCCCCCAAAGCCAGCACTTTCAGTTTTTAATTCCATCTTCCTCTGCTTAACTCTGTACCACCTATTACAGTCTCTGACTTAGAAGTTCTAAAAATTGCCTTTTGACACTGACAGGTATTTGGGAACCACTTGCCTGTCAACTGCTCTGCTCCACCCCTCCCCCATTCCAGAATGCTTACGACATACTTACTACCTTACCTGTAATCAGTACATGCTGCCTTGTGATTGGCTAAATATTATTCACTGTGGACCCAAGTAGTATACTGTGCTTTTATGAACATTTTTATACAACTTTATTCCTTGAATCCAATAATTACTTCACTCTATATTAGTTTAATTTTCTTTGTGCCTATTGCTCAGTTTTGCTTAAACACTACTACTTATCTTCCAGTTGCCCCCAAATCATTTTTTCCATTCATTTGTGAAACTTTAAATTTATCTTCTGGTTACATTTTTCTTCTGGTGAGGCGGGTCTCCTGCAGCCCGCCTTCCCATCTGAGTGGCTGTTCTCTGGCCTGTGCCAAGCTGTCAGCTTGGACTTTGTTCTCCATGCTCCAGGTTAGATCCCCCATTTCTGGGTTTTCTGCTTTTTTTCTCCTACTCTTGTTTTGCCTGCTGACTCCGCACACGGTCTGCATGGTGGTGTCTGTTGATCATATGCGTGTAAGACACATCTACTGAGATCTTAGATATCTGAAAATGAATGTATTTTACTTTCATGTTTGAATGATAATTTGATGATTTTATTCCAAAGTTTTTTTGTTGGTTTTTTACAGTATACCATGCACTGTTCTATGAACTGAGGCTATAAGTAGGACAAAATGAAAATGGATTAGGTTCTTGTCTAAAAAGAGCTTTTATTTTCAGGGCAGAGGCATATAGATGGACAACAATAACAACAACATGCCATTCATATGTTATATGTGTACATTAACATGCCCATGTATACACACGTACACATATATATGATAGCGTATATAAAGAAAAAGGACACTAAGGGAGTTGGAGACTGATATTGAGGTATTATTTTTTATAGGAAAATATCAGGAGGCCTGGGATATCTGAACAGAGACCTAAAATAAATGAGGAAATGAGCCACGTTTGTATTTGAAGGGAGAACATTTTAGGCAGAATGAAGAATGCCTTACTTCTGCTGCCCTAAGGTTAGAAATCCAATAAAATTTGGGCCTATAACTTTTGCTTCAGACTCTATTTTCTAGGCAAACCAGGTTAATGCTAACTGAATGTAAATTTGAAGCTGGAAATAATCCTTCTTCTGAAATTTGAAATGGTTGTTCTACTGTCTCCTGTTGTCCACTGAGAAGTACAGGGTTTACGGAAAGAAGGGAAGGCAAACACAGATGTTTCTTTGCTCAGCTCATGATTGTGCCCCAGAAAACAGAGTAGCTCAGTCATTTGTGGCGCTACTACAGAAATGGAGATGGAATCATTGCATTTTAGCATCATTGGAGAAGGTCTCCTTCATCATTGGACCACATGATTGGACCTACATTGGACCATCATTGGACCTCATCATTGGACCTTCATCATTGGAGAAGGTCTCCTTCATCACTGGACATTATTGGAGGAGGTCTCCTTCCTCTCTCTCGTCTTTCAAAATTCAACTAATGGGTGCTAATGGGTGCAAATTCCTCTGCTTTTCTGGTTGCATTACCCAGCTTCTCCGTGAAGTTATAGGAAAACCTCACCCCAAACCCACAATGTAGAGAACCATAGACTCAGTGTATCAATCAGGTTCAACCAGGACACCAAAACTCCTTGGGCTCTTACCACTGAGAGCCATGCAAACTCACTAGGGGCCATGCAAACACCTGAACCTAACCCAGGAAATGTCCAGGATAATGGAAAGAACTGGACTTCACATTGATCAAGTGGCTAAAATCCCCGGATGAGGTACATGGTTGTAGCAATGGCTCCACAGTGAGTCAGGCCTACGTAGGCCATGTCCCTTTATAGCGTGATGTTGCCAGTTTTCCCTTCATGAGGTAGACTCTTTCTGAGAGATGACCTCTCAGCAGAATGCTGTAAACCAGCAAGAATGAAAAACATGCTTGTAAAATATTAAGGAAAAGTAACCGTCAACCTAGAATACTGTACCCAATTAATTTTTTTTTCAAAATGAAGATAAAATAAATCATAGCAGAAAATCTCAGAGCATTTGTTTTTAACAGAATTTTATGAAAAGAAATTTAAAAAGCAGTTATCCCAGCAGAAGGAAAAGGATACTGGATGTAATGTGTTTATCAGGTTTTGGTGTAAATATCAAGGTTATGCTGACCTCACAAAATGAGTTTGGAAGTATTTTCTCTTTTTAAATTCATTATTAAGGTGTATAATATGGTTGCGTTTCTTTCCATAAATGTTCCGATGTGTTTATCATTGAAACCATCTTTGCCTTGACTTTACATTGGGTAAAGATTTTTTGTTATAGTTCAAATATCTTATTTGATATTAGAATAAAGAGATTTTTCTATTCTTGTATCAGTTTTGGTAAGCTATGTTTCAAGAGTTTGTCTATTTCCTCTGAATGTCACATTTATTGCCATAAAATTGTTCATAATTTCTTATCATCTTTCGATTTCTCTAAGGAATCTGGTTGTTGTCCCCTCTATCATTTGATATATGTGTATGTTTATATCTTGATATATGTAACTATATATTATATATGTATATATATTCTCCTTTTCATTAGTGTGGCCAGAGATTTATAAATTTTACCAGTCTTTTTAAAGAAACACCTCTGGCTTTATTATTTTTCTGTACTTTAAATAAGTTTTCTATTTGTTACTTCTTTATGCTTTACTTTCATTGGATTTAATTTCTTGTTCTTTTTCTCAGTTCTTGAGATGGACATTTAGAACATGATTTTTAAGTCTTTCTTATTTTCTAATCTAGGGATTTACAGCTATAGATTTCCCCGTAGGTCCATTTTTACTATAGTCCATAAAGTTTGACACATTGCATTTTATTATCATTTAATTTAAAACATTTTCCAATCTCCACTGTAATTTCTTCTTTGCCCCATTTCTTTTGAAGTGGGTTTAACATTTGAACATTTGGGAATGTTCTAGTCACCTTTATGTTACTATTTCCTTGCCTAATTCCACTGGGACCACAGAACATACTCTTTTTGATTTAAATTCTTTAATACCTGATGAATTGCTTTAAATTCCAACACATAATCTATTTTGGTAAATATTATATGTGCACTGGAAATGGATGTATATTCTGTAGTTATTGAGCACAGGCATCTATATATGTTGGTTTTTGTCAAGTTTGTTAATTGTGGCTAGAATTTCCCCTTTACTTTTATGAATTCTTTTTGCTGTTGGTCCCATCAGTTATTAAGAAGTATGTTGGGACCGAGGATTAGTCAATTTCTTCTTTTAGTTATGTCAGTTTCTATCCTAAACAATTTGAAGGTATATTATTATGTTTATGCATATTAAAATTGGCATCCTTTTCTAGTGGCGTGACCTCATGAAATGTTTTTTAGCTCTAGTAATGCTTCTTGGCTTAAGTCTATTCTGTGTAATAATAATATATTAACACGAGATTTGTGTTGGTTAATACTTGGGTGGCATGTTTTGAATCCTTTTACTCTCAAAGTGTCTTTTATTTTTATTTTTTATTTTAGCATATTATGGGGGTACAGGTATTAAGGTTACATATATTGTCCATGCCCCCCTCTCCCCTCGAGTAAGAGCTTCAAGCGTGTCCATCCCCCAAATGTTGCACATCTTACTCGTTGTGGTTGTATATACCCATCCTCTCCTCCCCCTCCCACCCTCCCGACACCCGATAAATGTTACTCCTATATGTCCACTTAGGTGTTGATCTGTTAATATTCATTTGCTGGTGAGTACATGTGGTGCTTGTTTCTCCATTCTTGAGATACTTCACTTAGTAGAATGGGTTCCAGCTGTATCCAGGAATATACAAGAGGTGCTATATCACCATTGTTTCTTAAAGCTGAATAGTATTCCATAGTATACATATACCACATTTTATTAATCCACTCATGAATTGATGGGCACTTGGGTTGTTTCCACAGCTTTGCAATTGTGAATTGTGCTGCTATAAGCATTCAAGTATAGATTTTTTTTATATAGAATGTCTTTTGTTCTTTTGGGTAGATGCCCAGTAATGGGATTGCTGCATCAAATGGTTAGCTCTACTTGTAGCTCTTTGAAGTATCTCCATATTACTGTCCACAGAGATTGTACTAGTTTGCAGTCCCACCAGCAATATATGAATGTTCCTATCTCTCTGCATCCATGCCAATATTTATTGTTTGGGGCTTTTTGATTAAAAGTCACTACACTTAAGTGATATCTCATTGTCATTTTGATTTGCATTTCCCTGATGATTAGAGATGTTGAGAATTTTTTCATATGTCTG